TGGGGCTTCTTAAAAAGAATCGAAAACGTCGGCGCTGCAGCGGGAGCAAGTTTTGGAACAACGAGAGGCGCAGAAATTGGGCCAGCGCTGCAGCGGGAGCACGATTCGGAACGAGCGGGAGCGCGGAAATGAGGCCAGCGCTGCAGCGGGAACACGATTCGGAAGGAGCGGGAGCCCGAAAATTAGGCCAGCGCCTCAGCGAGAGCAGCATTTTAGGAAAAAACACAAGCGAAAACCCAACTCCGGGGAATCCTGTGTGTAAAAAAACAGTACGCGGGGGGGTGCCGAACATCTTCCGGACGCCATCAGGGGAAGTGGGAGAGTAGTATTCATATTGTGTAATTGTGGAGGAGGAGGAGGAGGAGGAGGAGGAGGAGGAGGCAAAGCAGGGCCTGGGAAGCGGCTTCCGCAATCGCACGGACGACGACGAGGACGAGTCCCAGACTGCCTCGGACGATTCCACACGCGGGGCCCTGCCGTCGGAGCACCTCTCTGTTTCGCTGCTGTTCCATGGTGCTCCCACCGCGTGGGTCCCTCTCTGGGCTCGTCGCTTCGTCCCTGTCATTCCGCACGGGGCTCCTCGCCGCAGCGGGGACCACCATTTGTGGACCCGCTTCTTTCTCGTCGCCGTCGCCCTCCTCCTCCTCCTCGGAGGAGGAGGGGGAGGGTGAGGAGGAGGAGGAGGAGGAGGAGGAGGAAGAGGAGGAGGAGGAAGAGGAGGAGGAGGAGGAGGAGGAGGAGGAGGAGGAGGAGGAGGGGGAGGACATTCCCGCCCTCCGCCTTCCCTGGTCCTCCTGCCTCCCTCGCTCCTCCGGCTTCTGCTTCTGCTCCCGCTGCTGCTGCTCTTCCTCCTTCCTCGCCCTCCTTTTACTCCTGCTCATCCGCCCCTTCCTCCTTCTTGGGGGTCATAAGGGGTGGATGCATCTACCTCCAATCGCTCGTTGATCGCCGATGGGTGCCCGATAGCCCCACCCAGCCTGGGAACGCGCGGATTCACTTATCGGGGGCCAATCGCCGATCTATCGGCGATGTATCGCTGATCCCAGGTCGATGTGTCCCCCCCACTGCCCCCCCCCCGATCGTCGCCCCTCACCTCCTCCTTCTCCCCACGGATGTGTCTGGGTTGGCCTTGGCAGTGGTCGGACTCACGCGATGCGGGTGGGCTGTGCTGGAAACGCCCGTCGGCGGCCTACACGTGCCAGCCATCTTCGGGCCTCCTCCCTGGCCTTGCTCCAACTGTATTGCGTGCTGAACACAATCGAAGGCGCCCACGGCGAATCACCGCCGCCCCTATTCTTCTTGGAATTCGCATGTGGCCGAGTGTTGTGGCAAGAGCTCTGCCAAGCTATCGGACCATGTGTTCTCCCAGCCGTTATGGAAACCCGTCGGGGAACACTTGGGGGAGGGTTGCGGGGAAGATCAGGAGGAGGAGGAGGGGGTATCTTGGGAGCCTCTGGGGGCACTCTTGGGGCATCCTGGGAGCTCCCTGGGAGCCTCTTGGAGGCATCTCGGGGCCCCCGTGGGGACTTTTCAGGGGCCTCTTTGCCTGTCTTAGGGCGTTTTTGGCCCATGTCGGAAGCCCCCTTTGAGGCCTCTCTGGGCCGACTTTGGGGCCCTCTTGGGGTGCTCCAGGGCCGTCTTGGAGGCCATCTTTAGCGCCTTGGAGGCCTCTTGGGGCTGTCTTGGGGGCCTCTTGGGCCGTTCTGGGGCCATCTCGGAGGCCTCTTGGGCGATCTCGAGCCGATCTTTGGGGGCTCTTGGGCCGTCTCGGGCCGTCGGAGGGCCGAAAAGAAACAAATGCTAACACCCTTAAACAACCTAAGGTAAATCAATACTTTTGGCCTCCTCTGGCCTTCCTGGGGGCCTTTTTGGAGGCCTCTTGGGCTGTCTTGGAGGCCTCTTAGGGGGTCTCTTGCGGGCCTTTCAGGCCGTCGTAGGCCATCTTGAGGCCATCTTGGGCCGTCTTGGGTGCATCTTGGGGTCATTTTGGTTGGGGGTTGGGGCTTCTTGGGCCAAAATGTCTTGGAGGCCATCTTGAGACATCTTGGCCGTCGGAGAGGCCATCTTGAGCCGTCTTGGAGATTTTGTGTGGAAGTTGTTTACGGTTCTTTCGGGAGGCCTGCGCGTTGGGTCGAAGCCCCGAGCGGAGTTCTTTTGGAGAAAGAGCCCAAACCAAGCCGCAGTGTCCAGCACGCCGGGCGCCCCTGTGGCAAGACCGCATGGTGCGGCGGATCGAATGGCCTTCGGCCCATCCCACCACCGTGCCTGGGCTGTGGGTCTGAAGCCTATTGGATGTTCGTTGGGATCTCGTGGGAGGCCTCTCTGGGGCCTCTTGGAGGCAGGCTGGGGGCCTCTTGGAGGTCGTTCAGGGGCCTCCTGGGGGCCTTTCTGTGGCCTCTTGGGGGCCTTTTGTGGGCCTCTTGAGGGCCTCTTGGGGCCTCCTGGGCGCCTCTTGGGGCATCCTGGGGCCCGTTGGAGCGGAAGGCTTGGATTTTTGGTTCGTGTTTTTTCTTTTGGGCCCAGTGTGGGGCCGTCTTGGGGCCCTCTCGGGCGCCTCTTGAGCCGTCTTGGGGCCCTCTTGGGCCGTTTTGGTGTCCTCTTGGAGGCCTCTTGGGGCCGTCTTGGGGCGGTCTTGGGGGCCTCCAGGGCTGCCTGGGAGCGTCAGGACGCCGAAACGGCGAGAACGCCCAAAGCCTTCAAGACCGAAGCAAAGTCACTGATTTTGAGACCCTCTTGGGAGGCCTCCTGGAGGCCTCTTTGGGCGGGCGTCTTGGAGGCCTCTTGGGCCGTCTGGTGGCCGTCTTGAGTTTCTTGGAGCGATCGTTCGGCGACTTGGGGCCCTCTTGGACTGTCTTGGGGGGTCTCCTGGAGCCCTCCTGGCCCGTCCTGGGGCCCTCCGGGGCCCCACGAAGTCAGCGCGACAGGATGCGGGGGAGCCCCAGGGGTGCACGCGGGAAGCCCCGGTGGGCTTCGCACTTTGGAGTCCCGGGCCCCTGGAAGACTCACTGGGAGGCTCCGGGGCTTCCAGTCCACCCGCACAGCAAGGATGCGCAGTCTTCCCAAGGGTACCCTCGCATCCTTGCCTCCTCGGTCCATCCTTGGCCGCTTTGGCTGGCCAACCTCGTTCGAAACACGTTCACGTGGCACTCCAAGGCCCTTGCATCCTTACCGCGCATCCTTGGTATACGGGCTGACTGTGGGCCAAGGACCTGGGGATATGCCCACTCCGTGCCCAGAGGCACGGTGGCGGATTCTTCTTCCAAAGGCCCGGAGGTGGCTCTCCAGCCTTCCCACGTAAACAGTGATGATGTTTTGCTTCCCAGTCAAAGTTGGCCAGAGTTGGGAAGTGCATGGCGAACGCTCGTCGCTGCATGCGCACATGGGAAGGGATGGGTGGGATAGATCGGACGTCAGATATGGCGCGCGCGCACCTAGCTTTGTCCTTCTCCCGCTTCCCTCTCCTCGTGGTCGTCCTCCTCCCTGCGTCTCCTTCCCTCCCTGCTTCTCTTCTCCTCACTCCCCTCTCTCCTCCCCGTCCGCCCTCCTGCTCCTCCCAACCCCCTCCTGGTCCGCCTTCTCCTCTTCCTCCTCGTCGTCCTCCTCCGTCTCCTCCTCCTGCTCCTCCTCCTCCTCCTCCTCCTCCCTCCTCCCGTCCCCATTCTCCTCCCTCCCCATCTTCTTCCTCCCCCTCCCCGTCCCCGTTCTCCTCCTTCTTCTTCTCCTTCTCCTCCTCCTCCTCCTCGCCCTCCTGTCTCCTCCACTCTCCTCCTCCTGCTCCTTCTCGCCCTCCTCCCCCTTCCCCTCCCCGTCTCCCTCCCCCCTGCCTGGCCAAGTTTTCCCGCCTGCGCGGGCTCTGCGCCGCAGGGCGGGGGGGTGGCGGCGGGGGGGCGCTCTTGGATGGCGCGCCGATGCCGGTGAAGAAGCAGGCCGCCCCCTTCGCGAGCCTTCCGCGACGGGGGTCCATGCAGGCGGGGGCCAGCCAGGGCGCCCGATCTTGCAGCATATCCTGCAGGGCCACGGGCCGCACGGACCCCGATTGGGGTGAGGATCCTGCAGGATCCTGCAGGATCCTTCGCATGGACCAGGGTTTGGGTGCAGGATCTTGCAGGCTGCTGCAGGAGTATTCAAGGCCCGACTGGCCTGGGTCTGGATTGACCCGGGTCAGAAGATCCCCGATTCTTGCCCGCGGGCCTGCGGCAGCGTTTTTTTGTTGATCTTCCCAGCCGCTGCTTGCACTTAGAGTAAAGTCGGCGGCCATGTCCCTCTACAGGGGGAATATTAAGAAATTATCAGAATAGCCCGGGGACGATTTCTTGACCATGCTTGGTTTTTTGGTAACATTTTGTACTTTCCGTCCGAAATCCGCCTGCAGGGACAGGCCCGACCTGAGCCTGCGGCAGCGAGTCTTTGTTGTTGTTGTTGTTGTTGTTGTTGTTGTTGTTGTTTTTTTTGTTGTTGCTGATTTTCCCATGCGCTGCTTGCACTCAGTGTACTCCGAACTTCTTGTTAATCAACCGGGGGGTGACACACGTGAAAGCGTGGCGCGCCCCCCCCCCCCCGGCACCACCCCCGCGCCCCGGCGGGGAAGGGAACGAGCCCCAGACCTCCCCTGGCAACCCCTACAGGAACGAAAAATGACATAAACATACAAATTCGGAGGTCCGTGCGGATTTCTTGGATCCGCGCTGGACCCGCCTCCCTGGCGCGCGGAGCGCGCCAGGGGCGGCGCCGGAGGCGCCGCCAGGGGACTCCAGCGCGGATCCGAGAAATCCGCGCGGACCTCCGAGTTTTTATCTTTATGTCATTTCTCGTTTCCCTAACCCCGCGGACGCGCTGCGGCCAACCCCCCGGGGCACGCCAGGGGGGGGGGGTGGGGCGATTCTTGAGCGCTCCAGAGTATGCTCTACAGCCCGGGCGGGCTAAATAAGGAACGCGAAATAAGGAGCGCTAAATACGGCACGCTAAATAAGAATAAGAAGGCACTCCCAGGGGCGGGGGGCGATTATTGAGCGATCCGGAGTCATCGAGCGGTCGTGGCGGGTTTTTCGTGCCCGGTGCCCAGCCGGTGGCCGCCTCGTGCGCCGGGCCCGGGCGGGGCCGCGCCTGGTGCGTGGCCCGTGGCCGCCCCGCGGCGCTGGGCTGCGGCTGCAGGAGGGGGAGGAGGGCGGGTGGCTCATCCACTTCCTCCTCCTCGTCCTCTCTCGTCCTCCTTGCGCCACTCGCTCTCCTCACTGCCTCCTCCCTCCTCCTCCCCCTCCTCCTCGCTCCTCCCCCTCCTCCTCCTCCTCCTCCTCCTCCTCCCTCCTCCCCCTCCTCCTCGCTCCTCCTCCTCTCCTCGCTCCTACACTTCCTCCTCCTCCTCTTCCTCCTCCTCCTCCTCCTCCTCCTCCTCCTCCTCCTCCACTCCTCTTCTTCCTCCTCCTCTTCCTCCTCCTCTTCCTCCGCAGTCCCCGCGACCGTGTCCCCCGTCCCCTTCGGAAGGTGAGACAGCGCCATACAGTCAAGACGCTGGAATAAGGAACAGTTTGGGTTCGGAAGGGGTTCGGAAGGTGAGACAGCGCCATACAGGCGGCCCGGATTAGTAGGTCGACCCTGCCAGATCAAGGGTACCCTCGGGTCCTGTGTCTTGCGACCCGTGCCTCCTGCATGCCTGTGGCAATGTGGCCCTCGGAAGGGTCTCGTGTCCTCTCGCGTGTCCTCTCCAACGAAGTCCGACTGTAGAGCATACTCTGGATCGCTTAATAATCGCCCTCCCCCCCCCCCCCCCCCCCCATTGGCGTGCCCGGGGGGTTGGCGCCGTACAGTTAAGACGCTGCAATAAGGAGCAGTTTGGGTTCGGAAGGGGCTCGATGTTCCTGCGGCTCCTCCAGTGCTGTTCCTCTTTCCCCCCTGGGGCACGGAGGCGCTTACAGGGCCAAGAAGGGGCTTCGTTCCTTCTTTAGCGTTCCTTCTTTCAGCGGCCCGACTGTAGAGCATACTCTGGATCGCTCAATTATCGCCCCCCCCCTTGGCGTGCCCGGGGGGGTTAGTTAGCCGCGGCGCGTCCGCGGGGGTGCCAGGGGGGGTCTGGGGCTCGTTCCCTTCCCCGCTGGGGCGCGGGGTTGGTGCCAGGGGGGGATGGCCGCGCCGCGTTTTCATGTGTGTCCCCCCCCGGTTGATTAATAAGAAGTTCGGAGCAAGCTGTTGGCGCTCCGCGCGGATTTCTTGGATCCGCGATGGGCCCCCCCCCGGCGGCGCCTCCGGCGCCGCCTCTGGCACGCTCCGCGCGCCGGGGAGGGGGATTCGGCGCGGATCCAAGAAATCCGCGCGGAGCGCCAACAGTCTATGTTTATGGTGTTGTTCCTCCTTCTACCCTTGTCCCCCGCCAGGAGGAGGAGGCGGAGCAGGAGGCGGAGGAGGAGGAGGAGGAGTGGGCTCCTGGCGGCTGGTAAATCCTCCCTCCTCCTCCTCCTCCTCCTCCTCCTCCTCCTCCCATCTCATGTTGTGCTGGATTTTGGAGTTTTGGCCGCTCGGATAGGTGCGGGTCCAAACGCACGCCGCTTCCCGTGTTTACCCGCAAGGGCTCGATGAGGAAGAGGCATCTTCTTCTCCTCCTGCATAGGCAATGGTTTGGCGCTTTGACTCGCCTAGGGTCGGACCGAGGTACACGATCGAGGTCGGTGCGGGGAGGTACACTAATGTTATTCGTTTTTGTTGTGTGTTCTGGTAGATCCTGGGGGAGGGTACCCTCGAATGTTTTTCGTTCTTCAGTTTGGCCGGCGGAGGGTCTCGTGTTCTTGCAAGATCCGAGTTTTTTTACTCTGGGGCGATAACGGTCGGAGGTGGATAGACCTCCTACCTTGACACGTCGATTAAGGAATTGGCCGTTTTCGGTTCGCGAGAGGCGTTGCGGCCGTCATTTTTGCGGGAGGTGGGTTTGCGGCCTATCGAAACGTCTCGGGTGCGACAGGGAGGAGTTATCTAGAAGGACAAGAGGGATGACAAGGAAGACGATGAGGGAGGAGGAGGATGATGATGAGGAGGAGGAGGGGGAGGAGGATGAGGAGAAAGAACAGGCAGAGGAAAAGGGAGCAGGAGGAGGGGGAGGAGGAGGAGGAGGAGGAGGAGGAGGAGGAGGAGGAGAAAAAGGATGAGGAAAGGGGAGAGGAGGAATAGGAGGATGAGCATGAGAAGGATGGATTAGGAGGAGGAGGAGGAGGGGGACGACGACGACGGAGGAGAACGAACAGGCTGAGGAGGGGGCGTGGAGGAGGACGAGGAGGAGGACGGAGAGGAGGCGAAGGACGAGCGATGAAAGAAGAACGACGTCGACGACCCCGACGTCGTCCACGACGACGACGACGACGAAGGCGACGGCGGCGACGGCGGCGACGACGACGACGACGAACACGACGACGACGGAGCAGGTCCCCCTGACCGGCTCCGCGGCCTCGCGGGCGGCTCCGGCCAGGCGCGGCCTCGCGCACGGCGCCAGCTCCGCAGCCGTCCTCGCCGCTGTTCTCGCCGTCCTCGTCGCCGCCGCCGCCGCCGTGGGCGACGTGGTCGTGGTCGTCGTGGTGGTCGCTGTGGTGGGCGTCGCCGTCGTGGCCGTGGGTGCTGATCGTCGTCGGGCTAGGGGTCGGGGTCGTGGTCGTGGTGGTCGCCGTCGCCTTTGCCGTCGTCGTCGTCGTCGTCGTCGTCGTCGTCGTCGTCGTCGTCGTCGTCGTCGCCGTCGCCGTCGCCGTCGCCGTCGCCGTCGTCGTGGGCGTCGCCGTCATGATCGTTGTTGTCGTCTTGCGGTGGTCGTCGTCGTGGTCGTCGTCGCTGGTGTCGCCGTCGTGGGTCGTGGTCGTCGTCATGGTCGTGGTCGTTGTCGTCGAAGTCGTCGTCCAGAAGTTCTTCCCGACCGACCAAGTGGAGCAGTAGGAGGGATGATGAGGGAGGAAGTGGAGGTGGAGGTAGATGTGAAGGAGGAGGAGGAGGAGGAGGAGAAGGAGGAGAGGCAGGATGAGAAGAAGGAGGAGTAGGAGAAGGAGGAGGAGGAGGAGGAGGAGGAGGAGCTGGAGGAGAATAGATTGTCAGAAAGCTGCATGAGCATCAACTTTCGGAAAGTCCGCGCGTATTCCTTGGGCCGGCGCTAGGCCCTTCTGGCGGCGCCTCCGGCGAGTTCCTCCCCGAAAGGCAATGTTTACGCTGCTCTTGTTGTGTTCTAGAGGGTGGGGGGGAGGAGGAGTTTCCTCCAGGGGGGGGCTTCTGGAGGTCTCCCGAGGCCGCTGAAGGTCCCCGGAGGCTCCGGGAGACCCGAAAAGGTGGAAAGGTGTTCACAGGCCTGAGTCCTCGACCCTCCATCCGTGGAGAGGGGATGATGAGGAGGGAGTGAGACGAGGGAGTGAGACGAGGGAGGAGGAAAGGGAGGAGGAGGAGGAGGAGGGGGAGGAGGAGGAGGAGGAGGAGGAGGAGGAGGAGACGAGGGAGGAGAAAAGGGAGGAGGAGGAGGAGGAAAAGGAGGAGGAGGAGGAGGAGGAGGAAAAGGAGGAGGACGAGGGAGGAGGTGGAAGGAAAATATGAGGAGGACCCCTTCTTGTCAGGTGCTGCCAGAGGGGTGCCTGGCCCAAGGCGATCCGAAGTCGGGCGGGACGACGGGGCAGGACAGGTAAACGGGGGGTCGCGAAATCTGCTGCATGCAGCTGGCCTCGGCCGCCGGGCCCATTCCTTGATAAATGGGCGTCCAGGCGCCAGGAGGCGCCAGGAAAACGCGAGCTGACTCTCTACTCTGCCCTCTACTATCCTACCCTTTCGCCCCCCCCCCCCCACCAGACAAACGAGTCATCATCGATTCGTTATTCCATGGCTCCTCGCACCGATTTTATGGCACCCTTCTATTTCCCTACCTAGGCTCTGCCTAGAGGGTTCTTACTCTCTTTCTTAAAGGGACCGGGCAGTGGAAATCGCCCAGGGCGGTTCCCCCAGTATCCGCCCCGCGGTTCCCCTAGTTACGTCCCCTTAGCTTAGCGTTGCTTATCTCATCTTAGCTTAACTTATTTCATCTTAGCTTAGCTTAGCTTCATCTTAACTCAGGTTTATCGTAGGTCAGCTTACCTTCATCTTAGCTTCGCTGAGCTTTAGCATAGCAGAGCACAGCATAGCATAGCATAGCGTAGCATAGCATAACGCAGCACATCATATCATAGCATAGCCCATCATAGCATAGCATAGCGCAGCATAGCATAGCATAGCATAGCGCAACACAACACAGCACAGCATAGCACAGCGCAGCATAGTATAGCATAGCATAGCAGAGCATAGCATAGCATAGCAGCAAAGCAAAGGCAAAGCAACAGCAGCGACAGCAAAGCAAAGCACAAACAACGCAAAGCAAAGCAACGCAAAAGCAAAAGCAAAGCAAAGGAAAGGCAAAGCAAAAGCAATTTGCGACAGATGCCGAGGTAGCCTCGAAGGCCAGACCGGAGCCCCCGCAAGCAGTGCCTTCCGTAACCATTTCGGCTCAAGTCCGGAGGCCCTGCCACACAGCCGCCCACGCTCATGTCCCGAGGTTGGCGGAGTGAGGCGTTCAGCGGTGCTGCAAAGCCCGCCTCGGCACCAGGTGGTGCTGCACAGCCCACCCGGCCTGTTGTGGCCATCGATGTGGGCGACGTCGCGTCCAACCGGAACGACGTTCAGCGGGCTGAAGGCATTATCATAGCATAGCATAGCACAACATAGCCAAGCATAGCATAGCATAGCATAGCATAGCATAGCATAGCATAGCATAGCGCAGCATAACATAGCAGATCGTGCCATATCATAGCATAGCATAGCATAACATAGCATAGCATATCATAGCATCGCGCAGCTTACCACAGCAAGGCATAGCGTAGCATAGCATATCACAGCACAGCCTGACATACCATAGCTTAGCATATCAGATTATGTCATATCATAACATAGCTTAGCGCAGCATAGCATGTCATAACATAGCATAGCATATCATAGCGCAGTATAGCATGGCATATCATGGCATAGCATGGCATAGCATAGCAACTAATGCTGCTTTCCTGGGGGCTCCAACTTCCAGGTAGGGTCGCACTGGGGTAATGTGAAGGCCTTGCGGCCGGTGCCGCCAACTCAGAAGACCGACGACGACGACGACCACTACGACGACGACAACGACGAGCTGATGACCCTGCCACAGGCTCGGGACACACGGGGCGGGCGGTGAAGGGAGGAGGCGGACGAGGAGGCGGAGCAGGCGGAGGAGGCGGAGGAGGAGGAGGGGGCGGAGGCGGAGGAGGAGGACGGGGAGGAAGAAGAGGAGGAGGAGGAGGAGGTGGAGGAGGAGGAGGAGGAGGAGGAGGAGGAGGAGGATGCTCGGGCATGGATGCTAAGGGTGCGCCCTTTGGCGCGAGGTCACCTGGAAAGTGCCTGCGGACGAGAACTGACGCCAACGCCGCGCACATCTAAGAGGGCCTCATACACGAAACGCAGTCCCCGAGGAACCACGCCGCCGCTTCTTCCTCAGCGTCCAGAGGGCCAGCAGGCAGCTCCTCGAATTCCGAGCTTTCGTCCTCGGGTCCAGGCCTTGGTCCCGCCTCGGCGTCCCGCGCCACGGAGCTCTGCGTCTCGCCGGTGGAATCCCCCGCCGACCCCTTGGTGCGAAGTTTTCGGTGGCTCGCAGCATGCAGGATGGCTTCGGCCTCCTGCTCCTGGCGAACAGCTTCGCGGATGGCAGCAGGGGCGCCCTCCCTTCCAGGACGGAGCCCCTTCTTGATTCTCGAAAGGTTCTCCCTGCCCTTCCTGGTCACTCCAGGGCAGGGCTGCCTCAAACGACGGAAATCAACAGTCGCGAAGCGGCCACACGTATGGCATACATGCGGAGAGAGAGAGAGAGAGAGAGAGAGAGAGAGAGAGAAAGAGAGAGAGAGAGAGAGAGAAAAAGAGAGACAGAGGGAGAGAAGGACCCCCACCACCCCATGCAGTGCGTGGGGTGGGTCCCTCCCCGCAAGTCCCGACTGCTGCTCCTCCCCCATCTCGCTCGGTCGCGGGGCCTTCGCCTCGATCGCGGTCGGCCTGGGGGGGGGCGCGCAGGGGGTCGCACACAACTCGAGGAGGTCAGCCGCGTGCGTGATGTGAAGGCAGCTGCTGCACTGCCACTTCGGCCCGACCTACACCTTAGGCGATGCTTAAGAAAACTTGAGTTTTCGGCCAGAGTCTCGATTATTCTTAACGCTTCAATGTAAATCGTAAGATTTTAATAGAAGTGTTGGGTTTTTATTCAAGTTCTGAGACTATGAATTTCTTCACCCATGCTTTCTTAAGCATTTCGCAGGTTGTACTGGAGTGCGTGCGACGAGAAATCGATGGCCCGCTGCCGTCTCGTCCTCGGCGGGCGGGCGGGCAGCTTTCGCGGGGCGATCGGCAGCGCGTGCGGTGTCGGCCTCGGCCGCTCGCTGGAGGGCACGCCCGGCTCTCTGCCTGACCAGTGCAGCTGTGGCGTCCCACAGGTCACGGTGCGCAACAGCATGCACGACCCCTCCCTCCCAAGCCAGCTCCGCCCCCTCTCCTCCTCCTAACTTTTTGCACGTCTCGCAGTGCATGAATCCAGACACCCCGGATCCTAGAGGCCATGGCCTCACCCACCTGGTCTGCCCTAGGCCCGGACGCTGCCCGCCACGGTGGTCGCATCGCGCATCGCATCGCAAGCCAGCTCCGCCCCCACTGCCGCCCCCGCGTCGGCCGCGGCGCTGCCTGCGGCAAGGAGGCGGCCTCGGGGGGTGGCCAGCGGAGCCTCGCCTTCCTCGGGGTGCGAGGGCGCCCGCTCGATCCCGATCCGTCCCGCCGCTCGGCTTCGCCGGGCTCGCCGAATTTTTCGCCACAGGTCGTCATTAGGACCCCCCGTGCTTTTCCTGGACCTCGCAGGCTCCCAAGTTTCCGACTCCGGCGCCCTTCTCTCCGACTCCGGCTCCCAACTTTCCGACTCCAGCGTCCATCTCTCCGACTCTGGCTCCGACTCGTCTTCTGAGGGGTCCCGGCCCCCCCGCGCTGCCCTCATGGGGCCGGTCCCGCTGGACCGACATCGCGCGCTCGCCCTCGCTCGCCCCGTGCTTTTCCTGGACCTCTGGGGCCAGGCCGTCCTCAGGGCCTGGTGGCTGGTGGCAAAAAAGAGGCAAATCTCCTGAGGTATATACTCCAGAGCCAACGCCAGCGCGAGAGTTTGCGGCCTTGGGGACAGAGTGGATCGGTCCCGACAGCGACCTGATCTTCGTGACTCCCGTCTGCCAGCACTGCGGGTCCTCAGCCCACTTGAATGTCGCGATCGCTGCTCCACAGCGTCGACTCCTTGGGTCATCAGAGTACCGACCCCCCGACCCGTCCCCGAACACCGTCGCCCATGCGTCCTCCCCCCGATAGTCGTCCAGCGCTTTCGCGCCAAAGGGCAGCTCGATGCCCGCGAGGCCTTCCTCTTCGAAGCTG